ATATATATATATATATATATATATATATATATGTTTATAGAGGTTATTAAGAACACATGCTTATGAATGAAGATCTAGGGTTTAGGGTTTGGGGTGTTTAGGGTTTATAGTAAGGGTTTAGGGTTTAGGGTTTAGGGTTTAGGGTTTAGAGAGCTAATCCGTGTATTAGGATTTCGCGTTTTGAGGCAAACCCTAGCTGAACATCTTCCTAGTGTTTAGTGTTTAGTGTTTAGTGTTTAGGGTTTAGTAGGGTTTAGGGTTTAGGGTTTAGGGTTTACAGCGAGCCAGCCAGCTAGGTTGTCTGCGTTTCTGGGGAAACCATCGATAAGGAAGAAACCCCTAAACCCTTTTATTATCATCTTACGCAGCAACAAACTCAGTGTTATCTTCACTGGCACTATGCGCCCTGAACACAAACCCTAAACCCTAAACCCTAAACCCTAAACCCTAAACACTAAAGCCTTGAGAATGCTAGTTTTATCTTCACAGGTACTATGCGCCCTGAAACACAAACCCTAAACCCTAAACCCTAAACCCTAAACCCTAAAACATAAACCCTTGACAATGTTATCTTCACTGGGACTATGCGCCCTGAACACACAAACCCTAAACCCTAAACCCTAAACCCTAAACCCTAAACCCTAAACCCTTGACAATGTTATCTTCACTGGTACTATGCGCCCTGAACACAAACCCTAAACCCTAAACCCTAAACCCTAAACCCTTGAGAATGCTAGTTTTATCTTCACTGGGACTATGCGCCCTGAACACAAACCCTAAACCCTAAACCCTAAACCCTAAAACATAAACCCTTCACTGGTACTATGCGCCCTGCAACACAAACCCTAAACCCTAAACCCTAAACCCTTCACTGGGACTATACGTCCTGAAACACAAACCCTAAACCCTAAACCCTAAACCCTAAACCCTTGAAACACCCTAAATGAGCGTTATACGCCCCGAAACACAAACCCTAAACCCTAAACCCTAAACCCTAAACCCTAAAACTAGCCCTAAACCCTAAACCCTAAACCCTCGCATTTGAGCAGCATAAGCGCTGCATTGTCCCTGTGTATTGATCGCTT